GTTTAGTTTTGCCAAATTTGGTTGGCAATTGCTAGCTAGAGATTTTAGCAAGCGTTTAGCAAATGCCCTCAAAATCTTTCGGGATGGTTTAATGTTTTTTTATATATCATAACGTCCAAAAAACGCATCCTCGAGCTTTTTTCACACTTGATTCTCTATAAAACTCAACATTTTGTATGTAACTGTTCCCATTTATTATATATAACATGCACGACATTGTAAATCTAGGTTTTGAATTAAATGGCATGTTGCAACATCATATGGATTTATATAGCTATTACCAATTCTTGTAATTGCAAGTCAATTAAAATATGATTTCTATCACATTTAAAAAATATATATGTTTACAATAACAATTAAACCAATTATGTGCAATATTTACAAAATAATGCTTTGTATAATGTATTTTCTGTTGCCTTGTAATTATTTATCACCTTAAATGCTTCTATAGAAAACAATTGTTTCCGCATCTACCAACTATATAGATTTGAGTTTTTAGATACTCTGGATAAACACTTGGTTGATAAGTAAGTTGATAAGATAAGTAACGAAAAATATTGATTAGGTAAGCTGAATGAATAGTTTACGTGCAATGTGTTAATAAATATAAAAAAAGTCAAAATTTTAATCTAATCAAACAATATAATTAATTTAACTCAGAATAATTTCCTAATAAACAGTCAAGTAATCTAAATTTTTTCCTTATCATCAATTTCACACGTCAAGTTGTTTCTCAAAAATGTAAAATTTTCATGAGGATGAGAGAACCTTTGTTTCTACATCTGAAAAAAGAACTTTTTCGACAAAATAACAAAGATGTGCATTTAAATTATTACTATTATTTTTATCAATATGTAATTTCTCAATAATTTTGTGTTTTTATTTCGGAAAAATTCGTATGACTCATCACAGAGTTTTCCATTTCTAGTCTCTTTCTAATACTGTTATCTTCTTATCGTTAATAAAGATAGGTTAAACACAGTAATTTCATTGTACACTTAATTCATCTAAGACTTGGTATACCCCAACAGGTGTTAATAGTGATAGTAGTAGTAGATTGGGGTGTCCCACATCATATGATTTACAAACATAGTTGATTTGGGGGTGCTACAGCCTAATTAAATCAAAATTAAGTAATCTCATATAGTGTCGATCAATAAGTTATTTTTTTTTAATGATCGACAACGCAAAGAAAATAATAAATAAAATCGTATTTTCAAAATGCTACTAGTCAGTGAAAAAGAAAGATATTATTTCCAAGTTTGAGTATGAAAGAGTATAATTTATCTAGTTTATTGGTACAGAGAGATTTTTGAAGGTAACAAATACTGGTGATAAAAAAATCACAATCAAAAATTGCTAATAATGTAACGGATATAATAAAAACACATTTTCCAAGATGCTACTAGTCAGTGAAAAAGAGATATATTATTCCAACTTTGAGTATGGAATAGTATAATATATCTAGTTTATCGGTACAGAGAGATTTTTGAAGGTAACAAATACTGGCGATGAGCAATCAACAATTGTTATATTGTGACGGGTCTTTTGGAAAATTTATTTTTCCTTAGAAATTCGCCATGCAATAATAACATTTCAAAATGTATATTAGTATTACAGCAGAGTATCTTCTGAATATAGTTCTTATATATTTATTTATTTTTTTTTAAAATGGTAAATTTTCCCTTTCAGTATTCTGTGTAATATTCATTAAAAAAACCGTACATATTAATTTATCATAATGATATATATTAATTAGATTTGTTATGACACCCCAATTTTATTAAGAAGGATTTTTTGTCGATCTTTTTTAATAGTAAACTTTGAACGAAAATAACTCTTTAAAGAACAGAGATACACATTCCATATTAAGATCAAAATATATTAGGAGTATAGGGCAATGTCCCTATAGAGAGATTTTTTTAATTTAATATAAATCATATTACTTATTTTAAGCTAAAAGAAAAAAAGGAAAGTTATGTATATATGATACATAATTTTATGCAAATAAAATTGTAAAAAGCTCTCTATACGCCTAAAGAGCATCAAAATGCGAAATCCAAACCATGTCATTTTATTTAGATACATCATATAGTTTAAGAGTTATTTCAATTTTTGTAATCTTGTGAATATATTTTGACTAAATTTTGGTGTTGCATCTAAATTTTATAATTTTTATATAGTACTATATAGCCAAACAAACAATTTACAACCGTTAATATTATTATACAATTTCTCGTAACTTCTTTAATTATAATAATAATTATTCTAATCAAAGTTGTGTTTTGTTGAATTGTTAGTAGTAATTTTTAAAAAATTTTTTTTTGTGGCACAAAAAATAATAAATCCGCAAAACCCCTAAAAAATTCTTATTAATGAAAATTTATATATGTGATCGACTATGTTTGATGTGGGACACCCCGATAGTAGATGCTGTGATAAAAAAACATCTATTTGTATGACAAGTTGCAATGATAAAGATGGAAATTTGAATAAAAGCTTTCAAAAGAATCTTTTTCTTAAATTATTAACATTAATTGTTTTTAAATTGGTAACTTGCCACAAATAACAGAAATCACGCCCACCTTCCATAATGGTATTTTTTTTTATTCAATAACAAATTCCTCAAAATCTACAGCTCTTTCTCCCCATATGATCAAATCCAAAAAGTCGCTAAACAGTCAATATGAATCCATATAGCTGGCAAAATAATATCAATTGATCAGGATTTGTTCTTCCATGTCAACAAGAAAAGTTTTTCAAAACATGTGGTGGTTTGTACCGGACTACGAAAAAGTTGCAAGCCGTTGGTGGCAATAAAAAATATAATTGTAGTAAAGTTGGTCAATTGGTACGAAATTGTATCATTAACTCGCTCGCTTACTCACTCAATTTTTCTTTCCTTCACTCATTATGTATTTCTTTAGAACTGATTTTACTAAACCACCTTCAATCACAAACAAGATATAATAAAATTTATATGATAAATTTCATTGTGCATCTTTATTGGCAAGAAAATATTATGAAAAAGTTGCAATATCATTGTTATTGTTGACCAAGCAAATTGCCAGGATTTCTTAATAGGATATTATAAGATGACAGAATATTACCTTATATACAGCAAGAACAACAAGAAACAAAAACAATCATTCCAAAGATTGAATCAACAAAAATTTCAACATCTTTATACAAAAAATTTGACTAATGGCATTATTGGGCCTAAGTGTTAAATCAAAGCAAAGAAAATTTTGAGGTTACTGAATTGAAATATTCAATCAATAAAATTCCAGCTGCTTCGTCAGAAGAAGATGCCGAGGAGGGGAGAATAATTAAAAAGAGCAAAAAAAAGTTATGTCAAATAAATTGTTTGTGATATTCTCAATGCAAACAAAAATGAAGACTTTTCTTTTATAATAAACACGATTTAATTTAAATTTTTATTAATCATAAAAATATTTAATTTATCATTAATAAAAAAACATTTATTTAATTTATTTTAAGTATGAAAAATTTTAATAAGTTAGCTTATAAGAAAAAATGCAATATTTAAGGATTTCATTTCAATTATTGATAAATATATTATTTATATTATTGCAAAAAAAATGAATAATAATAAATCTATAATTATAATTATTTTCTCAATTTTCTTTCTTATTATTGTAAATGGTAAGAAGCAGACATAATAATAATTTATACTCAATAATAATTATCTTTCTACTTAAATAATCTTGCATCTTCTGTAAGGTCAAAATAATTGTTCGGGTGGAATTCAAGTTCGTCAATCATCCGACCTAAATCTTCTAAAAAATTGCAAGGTATTTACCGGCACAATAGCAATATCCAACGTTGATGATATTTCAGATTTGATATTCAACAGATTGGAACATCTCGAGGGAACACTAGATATTAACGACAATCGACTATTAAGACATGTTTCATTCCCAAATCTAACCTCAGTCACCCGGATTGGGATTGCTAATCAAACAACGTTGACGAAAATCGAATTTCCGTTTTTGAAACAAGCCGACGCATTAACATTCCGTCAATTGGCTGCTGATGTAACGTTTGACAGTGGATTGGAGTTTATTAATAATATTGAAATTAGTGATACGAATATTCACGAATTGAATGGTTTCAATCCTAAAAATGTTATCACCATTTCAATTAATAATAACCCGTTTTTGAGAGAATTGAAATTGGATAGTTTACTAAAAGTTGATTCATTATACGTGGCTTCCAACCGCAATGATGGGTTTTCCTTTGAGGTAAATAAAAAATGTGGAAATTGAAAAAAAAAATTCTTTCACAAAAATCAATATTATTTATTATTTTATTAGGCACAAAATTTGCAAACTGTTAAAGATCTAGTAATTGAAAATGTTGCAAGTCTTTCATTACCATCGCTCGTCTCCTCCAATTCAAATATTGCGTTATCCAATAACAATTTTTCAAAATTATCAATACCAAAACTTGATTCGATATCTGGAACATTTGCCATAAAAAGTAATCCCGAGCTCAAGAAATTGGATTTTCCGGAATTGAAAAATATGGGTGGTGCTCTAATAATTTCTGAAAACCCAAAATTATTAACTATTGACGGATTTCCTAAACTCAAACGGATAAATGGTGTTATGGATGTTACCGGCTCGTTCTCGGAATTTTTGATGCCTGAATTGAAAGAGATACGTGGTGGAGTAAATGTTGAAACTAGCGATAAGCGATTTGATTGCGATAAAAAAAAAATCAATTCGTTAAAAGATTATGGAATAGCCAAAGGTGACTACTTTAATTGTAAATCTAGAATATTAAATCCAAAATCTAATCCTCTAATAAATAAAAATAATGGTAATAATGATAAGAGTAAGAGTAATGGTGATGGTGACAATGGTGATTCGAAAAATGCGAATAATAATAAAAGCTTTAGTAATGACTCTTCTGATGGACTTTTATTATTGTTGAAAAGCAGTAATAGAATATTTTTTTGGTTAGAAATTATTTATTTTATTATTTTATTTGATAAATATTATTAAATGTCATAATTATTTACTTATTATTGTTATTATTTATAATAATAAATACTTTTTAATTTTTTCGAAAAAATAAAAAACATATTAATTAATAATTAATTTTAAAAAAGTTTTTACAATAAATTCTTATAGTTTTTTTAAAAAAGTAATTTACAAAGAATTAAATTTTTTTTTTTTTTTTTTTAAAAAAATAAATAATGCATAATCAATATGCTTTATTTAAATTTTTTTGTTTCATCTATTTCTAATAATTTTTTTATTCAAAATTATTTTGTATAAACGATAAACAAATAGCTCTCGCTTCATGACTTAAACCCAAAAATTCAACGTTTTCCCAAACTTGATGACAATTATCAACTGTGATTGTGTCGAACCATTTATCAGCATTACCATCATACAAATATTCGAAGATCGGTTCAAAGGTTTCTGGAGATGGAATTTTGATAGTGAAACATTCGCCGCTATTTTTGATGGTGTTGAATACTTGTTGAAAAAATGTTGATTGCAATACCAGGTATTCTTTATGCACCCAGAATGGTTTATTTTCGATTCCTTCGATGTGAAGCTCGGCGAATGCTGTCGATTTGTCACCTAAATATCTTGGACCTAATTGATGAAGTTTGTCAAGAACATATCCAATTGGGATCTCTTCATCAACTGGGTTTGGGCTGTTTGGGTTGGTATTATTAATAAAAATATCTTTTAAAGATGAGTATTGAGAACGGTTTTGCTGATCAAAGTTTGAGGAAGCTGAGAGCATATTTGTTTTTGTTTAGGTTTTATTTTTTTTTTTTTTTTAGAATGGTTAAGAAAATTTTTTATTTTTCTAATTTTTTTTTTTAGAACTCGTCAAAAACTTTGCTCTTATTTATATTATTTTTCATTGACTTGAAAGTATTAAAATGCGACGACAATCTATCTATTTTTATTTGTTTTGTGTAATGAAATTTAAATTTAATTTTAAACTTAATATTGTTTAAATATAGAAAATAATATTTAAAGTAATTATTATTATAATTAAGATAGATATTTCAGACAATAACTTTCTAGTTAACAACAATAGTTTCTTAATTTGTAAAAAAATGCCTATTATCTATTAAATTTGGAATATTTAATGTTTGTCTGATCTACAACACAATGAGTATAATAACGGTAACAATATTATTAATTATAATTAATTGTTAATATTATCATAATTATTATTATTTTTTTTGGTAATCGTAATAAATGTTATAAAGCTTAAAATCTTAAGATTGAGATGTTATGAACTTATTATCTATTTATCAAAAGTTTTACTGATATAGTGTCATTCATGTTTTGAGAATGATTATTATAACAAGTTATAAAACAAGAAATTGGGCGAGTGAACCAGGAATAAAATTTGAAATTGTTGATTAAATTTGGTAAAACTTTAAAAATCTTACCAAATTCGAATTATTTATTTACTTGTTTTCTAGTTGGTAGCAAATGTTCCATTAACTTAAAAATTTATTTTGTTTCATAAATGTTTCGCCTTTCTCCTTTTTTGGGTTTTTTTTTGAAAGTTAATTTCCATTACCATAATTTTGTATACGTTGTGCGCGTGTGTGTGCGTTCGATTAATCTTAGAGATAGTATTGTTTGTTCAAGTTTTATGTTTCATTAATTCAAATTCCCCTTAGGTATTATGCATAAACATTATTCGGAAGATGTATAAACATTGTTTGATAACAGATAACTATTTTTTTATTACGACATAAAATAATAAATGATTTTTCTATAATTTGATAAGTTAATAATTTATATTATTTGCTAATACTAATTCATATTAGATAAAAAGTGACTAAAATAGCCAACAATATTATGTATATATTTTAAAACAATTAAAATTTAATATTAATATGCTGTGGTAATAAATTATAAATAATATTTTGTCTTTCAAATTGGAAATGCACATTTTGTGTTTCTAAACATCTAAATTGATTCGACAGAAATCTAAATTAATAAACAAAACTAATTGATAATGATTACCATTGCAATTACTAATTATAGCTACTTATTGGAATTTATAGATTGAAAAAGTAATTTTAAAAAGTTGCTGGAGTCGTTCTATTTAATCAAGTATTTGTTTAATTGATTTTGGGATATTCATTATGAGTGTAAATGATTATATCAAACAATACCGATTCAATAAAGAATTTAGGAGAAAGCTGATCTTACTTTACATGTAATTATTGTAAAATTTATCCATGTGGAAGATTGCAAACCTGTTAATAAAACTGAAACAAAAACTTTAAATTATATACATCAGATGTCATCATAATAAGATTTACCGCTTAACACTCTTGGTGATAATATTTATTTTACCCGATCCTGATGTTTGATCAGCCGGAAATGATAATCTTAAATCTGACACATGTAGTAATTGAGTCATATTTTTTCTTGAACTATAATATGGAGATCAACGGCGAATTAATTTTTGTTCATGAATTTATTTAATTAAATCTACAATAATATTATGAAGAATGATGAGTTTATATATTGTTTTGATGAATAACTTTCAAGACTTCCATCTAATTACAATTTTGTTTTTTTTTTAACATTTAATCAATTCTTTCTATATCTATAATAAAAAATATGTCGAATGTATGTAAATTCAACAAAAAAAAATTTTTTTTATAATTTAATGTTAAAATGAAAGAAGTTTTTTACCAAATAAAAAATATACTTTTTACTTCAATCTATTTAACCTATAATTTATATTGCAATATATTTATTTATAAACATGCGCTATATATACATTAAATAAAATAATTATCAGTTTATTAAATCAAGCAAAGAAATTATTATACACAAAAAACTTTATCTATTAAAAATTTCACCAAACAACAAAATAGATATTCAAAATATCAAAATAAAAATTTGCTAAAGAAAAAAATAGAACATGTGACTTTTTATTTAGGATTTTGGGACTATTTTGATTTGGGGATTGGGACTTGGCCATTTAAGGTTTGGGCGGCAGGTATAATATAATTATATATTCTTTTTTGTAATCGAATCTTGTGTTAAATTCGTAAACTTATAGTGAATTTATAAGAATAATGTGATTTTTTTTTAATGTAATAATTCTATTATTACTTCTCATATTATCAGTTATATGTTCTCCATCATTTATTCAAGTAGCTTTGTATATAGTCGCAAATCCACTTTTTCCCATCTTTTCAAATCATTGTAAGGAATCCATCGAAGATAATTTTCATTGCAATTATTTGCTTTAAGTTGTGTATTTTTAATTATTCCATCGCCACTGGTATAACCTTATGTTGATAGTAACGGATCACATGAACAATATCTATTACGAGTTGGACATATACCAAATATTTTATCCCTTTTTACAGTTCATTTTTGTTTTCATCACTGTTTCCTCCTATCTTTATCATTGTTTTCATCTAAAATCTTTTATTTTATTCATTTAATGAATTGAAGCAATATGTAATAATAATGATAATAATATAGAATTAAAAGAACATATGTATTTAAAGTAGAAAATAGGATACCTTTTCTTCATTGAAATCAAAGAATTTATATAGAGAGAATTCCAAAGTGTGGCGCAATATGCTTCAATTTGATAATTCTTTTCAGTAATTTTCTCTGGTGAAATGAGGTGGCGAGAATGGGTTAATATGATATACTGTCTTGACTAGACTTTTTGGAAGTTTATAGGTAACAGAATTATAATCTGGATGGAACATTCGATTATTAGTTTGTTTGTTTGCATGCAAATATTAAATAAATGTATTACTATATTATTGACATTTTTCATCTCAAAGTTTCTGCATACATCCATAACACATTGGGGTGTTACACGTCAGCATAAACACAAACATACAGTCTACACTGTCTCTAACGGATGGATCATTGAGACCAGTACCAGGAAATTTGTCCGTTATTATTATAGAGAGAATCCAGTATAGAAAATTGTACTACATTAAGTCATGCGGAATAAAAAATTTTTTATTATATATTACATAAAAAAATATTATTAATTAATATTTAAAAAACAGTAATATAGACTGTTCTGTTGAATTGAATTCTATTTTTTTAACTGTTTCAATTCCTCATTTGTAAATTCCTTAAACTGTTGTTCAAACAAACAAGCTTACTTTTTCAATAGCCAATAAAGCATCTTGACTTGAAATAGGAGATGTCTCTTCGATGTCTTCTTCATCCTGATTTTCTTCATTAAAATTCGACATAGAAATTATTTCTTCTTCTTCTTCATCATCAACATTTTTTTCCATTTCATCAATATAGACAACATTTTTATTTTTTTATTTAGCGATTATGGGTAATTTTTTTAGGGAATTGTTATTCGCTCCCCCATTTTTGTTATTCACGCCCCTCCCATTATTAAGACAAGATAATCACATTTAAAGCCATTCATTGGTCACATTACTACACTTAGTCACGGGAGGGTGCGAATAATAATTCTCTTTTTTTATTAATATTAATTATAATCTAGATTTGGAGAGATCTGCAGTTTATTCCAGATCACGTGAATCCGTTATAGGCAGTGTTGTTGATTCATATGTAAGTCATATGAAGTGATTTTCAGATACAATCCGCTATACGTAATAAAAAGTTTAATCAATAATATTCGCTATAGAAAGAGACTTCAATAGTAAAAAGTCGGGACCAAACTTTTATCCGTTATAGAGAAAAATCCGTTATTATTATTATTATAATTATATATCTGATATAGAAAGATCCGTTATAGAAAGGTGTAGACTGTAGTTGAGCACACATATAAAAAATCATATGTAAGGATTTTTTATTGGGAAAAATGCAGACCAATTTA